CACATATACATATATATTCCTAAAACTTTTTATATGTTTTCCTAATAACTTTTAAAGCGATATTTTATATTAAACATAGTTTAATATGAAGATGTTAGTACTTAGAAGGTGGTCGCGAGCCTAGTTTGACACCGTGGGCCCATTGTTGATTCTCTCCTTGATCCAACCAATTTCTTCTTGAATTTGATCGATTCTTCTTTCTTTCATCTGATTTCCTCTGTTCGTCTAAGTACTTTTTGCCCTTTTTTCTAGGCTTTAATCTTTGGTTTTGCGGCGCGAAGGGATCTTGCGACTTCTTGCGTCTTCTGGCTGAAAAAGCAAAAATGTGGATAAATTTCGTTACATTTATATCAGTAAAATTATGAAAGCTTTTCCTGCTGAATATTTCGAATACATTTCTCACCTAAACGGCCGGCGGGTACTTCGCATATATAATGCTTCCGTTCCATACAACTCCTTGCGCTCCACTTATATTTTAAAACAGGATCCATTATGATACAATGCCATGCATACTTCTTGGATCTCCCAGGTTCCATTTTCCCGAAACTCTGGAAAACCATCTTTTCACCTGTTACACCCCATTCCCAAGCCATTTGTTGCCAGTTGAAAATTCCTCCGATCCATCGCTCCAATTTCGCTGTTGATTTGTAGAATTAGACAAAAATTGAATGATTTAACAATTAGACGAGAAAAAGAATAGCTTGTACTCACTAAATTGATCCCCCATTAGGTATTTCCTTAGCATCTTGTCCTTTCCATTTCTGTCCAATATTGCCAAAGTGGCATTTCTGTCCTTGCAGTGAAAGTACGCCTCTCTCCATGGTGCTGTACCGGCGCTGAGGTAATAACAGAATCGTTTCAGTCGAAAGAATCCCACGGGACATGCGAATCTTCTCACGGGTTCATGCTGTCGTAACGTTACGGATTGATTAGTCAAAGGACTAATATCAAAGTTTGGCGCCTCCAAAATGGCCGAAGATAAACCTAAAAGAAAAAAGAAATTAGATATGATTAATCATTATATTTTGTCAAATTGTGAAAGTTTCATAAGTTTTATTTTCGGATATTTGGAAATATATCTTAAGAATCTTAGAGGAATAAAAAAAACTTTAGTAGATAATTTAGACATTTGTGAAGCTGGTCCCACTTTTTCAAAATTTGGAAAAAATAAACGGAGTTCTGATTGCCCCTGAAGAGTTCAAGAGTTCTCAATTAGGTTTAGAAAGAGTTCCATCGATTAAAGCGACAAAAACACCGCTGAAATAATTTAACGTACGATAATTTCAATATATTTTATATGATTTCAATTGATTCTAACTGAAGGCAAAAAAGTGACTAATTTTTGTGATAAAAATAACAATAGTTGACGCACATTACATAAGGATTCTTTGGGATAAACTTTAGGAGACGGTAAATTTTACCGAAAGAATCAACTTAATTCTTTTTAATTTTTGTTAAGAAACCCGTTTTCTCCGACGTATTTTTAAGAAACTACGTGTCCTTGTTTGGATCGGCTGTAAGGCAATCGATCGAGAGGTAGCATTGTGCGTGATAATACTGGTTGACGTTTTTGCTTTTTTTGTGTCTTTTTGCAAAAGTAAAATCAAAGGACGTGAACTACTATTGTCAGACATCAGGTGTGCATGCGACTGGACACCTAGTTACTTAAAAATGCATTGGACGATACAGATTCCTTAACAAAAATCTTCTGTGAGATCTATCGTCCTCTGAAGTTTGACTCAGAGATCTTGAAACACCCAGTATATTTTTATTTTTTTTTTTATAATAGTTAGAATTCTTTTGAAAATATATCACTTTAGAACTCTTTGAAGAAGAGAGCCAGAACTTTTCAAATTATATTGGAATACGCAAAATAGCATAAAACGAAGATATATTCGACTTCGTTTGTATTTGACAGTAACTTTCAACAGTTCTCTATTTTGGCACGAATTTTATGTTTTGATAAATCTCACTATTTTGAAATGCATATTTTTATCTTTTTCACGTGCATAATATATGCTGCGCATAATTAATATATGTTCCAAGTGAATACATTTTCGTTCCGTGGCCTTGAATGGAATTTAAATATTATGTAATGCTGTCTGCGGTTCAAGCATGACTAGGCGCCACACCATTTCATAGCGTCATAGATATACGAGTATTATCGATCATTAAATTGTTGAGCATTGTTTCGTAAAATAGGTTATTTAATCCTCCATCTCGTATGACATCAGATTCGCAGCGTTCTCAGGTTTATCATTAAAATGTAAATGTCCTATTTTGAGGACACACCCGCGTTTCATCGTACAACTTCTGTAATCTGAGGTAAACTTATAAATCATGAATTTTATCTTTGTATTCATATGTATTCGTCTCAGGTGTATATTTACGCGATATTGTAGACTTTACTTATCTGGCGAGAAAAAAAGGTAAAGAAGCACATTATATTGATGGCTCTTACTAAGGAAAAAAACGAACTTTATTCATTATAATTTTAATGATTTATCTACGAAACATTCGATTTGATTGATTGAAATGTTTAGGGCGTGACAGATCCTTTGGATGAAATAGACCGGCATAAATAGAGCAGCTTTCTACGATAACGATATGCGATACTGATGTGCGCATACAATAGGCACCGTTATCTATAATTGAAATGTCAGATCGAACCGTATTAACAAAGATTTTAAAATAGAATTGATTCAAGAGATGTTAAAGACTTTTGTAACTTCCGTATCTGAGAAGGTTTAACAATTTCGAAAAGGATGTACAATTCGCGACTTAATTCTGCGAAAGATTGTAGCGGAAGGATTTGTCCAACTGGTGTGTGCCAACACACCAGTTTATTACAAATTAATAGTCGCAGCTGTTACGAAAATTTATGTGTAAACGGTGTATCAATGATATATTAGAAATGGTTATTTGTTATGTGTGTCCAATTAATTACTCAAAGATCCATCTTTGTGAGTCATCGTCGCGTAGACGAACCTTGTGGCGCGCATGTCACCATAAATTCCATTTATGATACACAACCAGTATCGTATGACTATTAATAAATACCAGAGATTTAACCTTTCCGCCCGCAGACTTCCAATATGGAAAACACATTCTTGTTCGCACGACAATTACATGTGAAAGAATCGAGCGCTTCTATCAAGCTCGTATCTAATCCACAGCAATTTTCTAGCGCGGATAAATCGACAAGGTAAACAAATTGAAGTAAGTGGAAAAAGAGTATTAAACCTCTAATAGCCTTCTATTAAATCGTGAAATTACTTAAATCGGAATAACGTAACCGCTTAATATCCTGATATCAGCTGTTTCGACCTCGATAATAAATGACGCGAGGTTA